CATCCATCCATCCATCCATCCATCCATCCATCCATCCATCCATCCATCCATCCATCCATCCATCCATCCATCCATCCATCCATCCATCCATCCATCCATCCATCCATCCATCCATCCATCCATCCATCCATCCATCCATCCATCTATCCATCCATCCATCCATCCATCCATACATCCATGCATAGATCCAATTAATTATCCGGGCACTCATTCATGTTATGTTCTTGTCATCATACGATTTTAATATTCATAACAAAGTACAGTATATATATATGTGCGTGCGTGCGTGCGTGCATGTGTGCGTACGTGCGTGCGTGCGTGCGTGTGTCTGCGCGCGCGCGTGTGTGTATGTGTGTGTAAATTTTTCGTAGTATATATAGTAACATAATAGCGTTTGTTAAATTGATTTGCTTACCGTGCCAGCGTTTAACTTCGTTAATGTATTAGTATTTGTTAAGTGCGGCAATTAATTACCAGTTACCTGGTCGGTTGCTAATATCGGTTAGCTGCTAATTATATTATGGTGCGCGAGCATGTCATGCATCCATCATGACCGCTGACCAGACATATGCGTGGAACACGCGCTGCGTGCCCCGTTCTGTCGATCTCTATAGCAGCATAGTAGCAACGTGCGAGAACCTATAGCTTCATTACTATAATGAATTATGTCTGCAAGCACGATATCTACATATGTGTATCGCCGCCTACAACGTAATGTCAATATTATAAACGCTAGCGTAACGATCTAGCGGCGTTAAATGGTAGGAACGCTTTCGCAACTATTCAAAAATTTAGAATATAAAATCCGTATCATTTTAATTAATGCGTTTCCTTACTGCTAAATAGTAGTGATATAACATTTGCTGTTATATTATGGGATATTGAATAGCTATATGTTGTTACGATTTGTGTTATGGATGATGATTTCAAGCTAAGGTGTTAATTTTTATTCGTCTACAAAATAATCATTATGTGTGCAACCTTAAGGTGGCTTTATTAGACGGATTACCTATCACTAAATAAATTATTGGAATGGACTTTTTTGGACTTTTTTTATATAAATATAGTCGTCCTATAATGAAATTGTTGAAATTAACAAAATAGCCTCTTTCAATGTTTTTATGGGTTGTATAATATTACTGCAGACTTAACTTTCTAGAAAAACATCCTAGATGACTGCCGTACAATATTTGCTCACATATTAAAGTGTATATAATTCACTTGCTCTTGAAATCTGTGCTTTAGTTATCACCATATTTATTTACTACACTTGCATGTGTATATAAAACCATAGCATTATAATGCAATAAGGTATATATTCATTCGTTATAACCCACGCTATACTATATACGTTGTCTGGAGGTGATGGAAATACTATAGGATTGAAATGACCATGTTTTTTCTTGCCTTCAAATCTTTAGGAATTCACGAAGGCTGTTTTATAATGGTTTGACCTCACCGGCACGTCAAGTTTTGTTTCGCTATCACACGGTCAGTTTCGTTCTCTTGGAATCAGGCTACGAATTTTTTCTACTTCTGTTGTGCGGTTTTATCTGATAGCATACCGTACATTAACTTCTTTTAATGTTTTCCGGGTTCATTTACCGGAATATTGTCTGATTTCGTATATAGCTAGTAAGCGTTAATTGGTGCACGATGTGTAAATATACTAGCACTGATCAAATATGGCCACGAAAGTATCTGAAAACGGGAAGGCACCTCCACTGATTCAATATAGACCGATATTGCATTTTACTGACTTGGAACAAGGATAGTTAGTTCAGTTTATAGTGTCAGTTCGACGATATTCCACACAAGACACGCAAGGTACAAGTGTAATATGAAGACGAAACAAATGTGTAACATGCCGTAAATGAAATTGCACTGATATACCTCCGTTACTACGGGTAATAGGACCGGTTGTAGCATGCAGACTTTATACACACTGTACGTCTATTGAAGATATAAGAATATCTTTTCGAAAAAATCTATGGTTGTTTAATATAAATTAATAAACGCGAATAATTACAAAAGCGTGATATGGAAATAGGCCGATGTGTAGGTGCTATTGCGAAACCTACATAACGTAAGTAAGTTGAGAAATGAATAAAAAAGAAAAATATAACTAAAATATAAATGATAAATAAATACATAATTATTATTCATAGATAAAATGTTATATTTTTGTCATTCCAGTTTGTTTTTATAATGACTCACCTGAGGCGTCCAATGAAATCGCATTCAACGCCTGCAACGTTGAAATGGTTTGTACTTAATATATGACGTTAAATATTTTAGTTGAATTGATTTTAGAATCCTACATAAACATATTATATTCATAAGTGCCCGACTGAAAATATTTTATCGGTTTAGTGGTTTTGCAATATTTATTCTTAAAATCTCCGATAAATTATATTACATACGGTTACTAGCATACAAACGTATTCCCCACCCGCTTATGCGTTTATACGGCGATACAATTTCACGGCTGAGCTATGGCGTGGGTATTGCTGCGACGTTAGAGGCCACTGTTGAACTGTATATTCATGTAAACGCATACTTGAATAGATTTGAGTGATGTAACCGCATATAATTATACTGTGCTTGCTGATGATGTTAAAGGCTGACGGCGAATTACGAGCTATGTGAAGGTGTGTGCATTCCACGCAGCACTCTTTATATGCATTACCTCGACTTTTGTGCGAAGAATGACTCTCAGCCCATCAATGCAGCTAGCTTCGGAAAGGTAAACATTATTCCTTGGGTGGGTCATTGGATAAGCCATGGGTCTACATCGTTTACGTAATGTTGTTGACTGTCTTGTGCTGATGTAAATGATATCTGGTTATGATATTTGCATTTTAAGATTATGAGATCGCTGTCGTTTACACCGCCACTATTAAATATGTTCTTCTTGGATGTCCATAAATGTTCCTGAACTAAATGCGAATAATACACTTTTCACATACAACCACGCACACAGAGGCGAGCGCGCTCACACCCGCCCGCACACCCGCGCGCGCACACACACACACACACGCACGCAACGGCACAACACCACCACATAGAATGTGTATGTAAACCCCCGCCACAACCCGCACCGCAACACCGCCGCGCACCACACACCACACAAACCAACAACACCACACAAGACACCAACCACACACACCACCACACACAAACACCACACCACACCACACACCACCACACCATAATATTACACACACACACACACACACAACACAAAACGCCCCAACGCACGCACGCCCCACCTGCCATACACCACAACCACAAAACACACAACACACACACACAAAACACACACACACACACACACACCACACACACACCACATTACCAATATATATGATATATATAATATATTATATATATATATATATACGAACAACAAGTAGATCACATTAGATGCATTGATGTTTTTAATACTGCTCGGATTGTTTCTAATAGATCACTTCTGTATTAGGCAACAGGATGAAGCTGGTGGAGCCCTTCCGTTCCAATTACGAAAACAAGTTTTCTGTATGCAATAAACAGAAGTCCCCCAAACATTACTACCGTTGGCGGGTCCCCGTATAAACTTTATCCTATTTTTTGCTCTAACTCCATGGTAAATTTGAGCAACTCCTCGACCACACGAGTTCCAATAAACAACCAAATGGAAATCCTGATCTATTTATATATATATATCCCTATCCTATGTATATTATATTATATATATCATATATATAATATACACACGGCCCGGTTGACAGAGACTGTTAATATAACTGTTTTATAACAACATTAAATCGCCTGTAAAATACTTTTTTTATGTGTAGTCAAATCCCGTTTTTCCAAATTACGACTCTGGCCTGTAAATAGTTCGGGTCGGATAATTATGGGTAAATTTAATTTATGAACCCGTAATATCCCATCTAGTCTAGATATCCTATCTAATCTATCTCTCTCCAACTCTCTCACTTCTCTTATCTCTCCATTTTTATATAATATAGTATATATATATTGTGGGTTCGCATTGTGAGCGGTCGCGCGGAGAGAAGGTGAGCGTGGTGGGGTGGAAGGGAAGAGGTGTGGTAAGTGGTGTAAGGAGCCTTGTGTAGGGAAGGTGATAGGTGGAGTGATGGGAGGGTGGGTGAGGCGCCGGTGAGAAACAAAAGGGGGTAAATACATCAATATAATACATATTGTTAATACTATGTATTACTATAATATATCAGGTTAGATTTTAATTGCCCTACGGTGGTTAATACTATTTATTTATTTGATTTATTTTAGTTAATTCTTAAATTTTTCAGTTTTTCAAGTGGAAATATCACACGGTTGGGTTCCCCCGTAAAATCAAATATGTGATACACTTTGGTAAACGTCCGTCTCCTTTTAATGTCCACCTATTATACTGAAATTCATTTTATAGTTTATATAACATTATAAATATATTGTATACAATATATAATAATATATTTATTATATAAATTTATATATTAATATATATATTATATAATAAATATAATATATAATTGAAATTGTCCAAATTTATAAAATTATTATGGGTTTTTATTTGTCCCTCTCACACTCTCTCCATAAGTATTTTTAGTAAGTTAATGTCTAGTAAAACGTAAAGATCAATTTAATAAGCTGAAAAGTAGGCACCGGAACTTGTGAAACTGCGGTATAAAATATTGGTCCATTTTAATAGCGAAATGTAAACGAAAATTTTTGTGGGATCCGAGGGTCCCGAGATTAACGTTCCCCATTAAACTAGGGCCCCTTACGTACAAAAATCACGCAATTTTATTTCCCAATCGCCGAAATGCACCAATAATGCAGATATAATGGACCAGAACATCCGTCCTACGAATGTTAGTTTCCGTTTTCTGTACGTTGGGTATTGTACATTTTCCCTTGCCGGTACTTCCTATATGGTTTATTATACATCTAGCCGCCAAAATTTAATACGGGTTTGGTTTGGAAATACAAATTGGACCAACAACGTAAAAATACCAGGCACCCCGTAAGCCGCGAAATTATTTTCAAATACTTATTATGTTATATTTAAACAATGTTCGCAAGCCCCCTTGCACTTGGCCGCGCTAGTTAAAGGTCCCCCCGCGGGTTAATGCGCGTGCCCACGGTGTGACATGAAATATTTGTGGCATTTTTAGGGTGTGTGGTCTGTGTGTGTTGGGGTGTGTGTGTTGTGTGTGGTGTGTTGTGTTGTGTGTTGTTTGTCTGTGTCTGTGGGTGTGTGGGTGTGGGTGGTGTGTGTGTGTGTGTGTGGGGGTTGGTGTGGGGTGGTGGTGGTGGTGTGCGTTTGCGTGCCGGTGCGTGTTATGCCCGGTTGGCGTGTGGTGTGTGGGTGTGGTGGGACCACCTATGGCTCGCAAAATGGAACCCGCGGGTGAGTTGTGTGGTTTGTTGCCCGCCGTGAGCATTTGTGACATGGGGAGGAAGCCGCGGATGTTAAATATGTGCGGTGGCGCGTTGTGTGCCGCCGCACGTGCCCACGCGCGGTGTGTTGTGCGTTCGTGTATTTCGAGAAATGCCGGTGGTTAGGCCATTTGCGCGCGCAACGTCCCAGCCCCGCTTGTTGGTTTTAAGGGAAATGCCGTGAGTGTAATTTACATGTTGGGCGTAGTAACAGCCCTGCGGCCGGGCCGGGTGTGTTTGTTTATTTCAGGAATGCCTTTTGCGGCCAAATGGCGCCGTCCCATGTGGTGGTGCGAGTTGCGTGCGAGCCGAACGCGCGCCGGCGGTGTGGGGTGTGGGTTGTGGCCGTGTGTGCGTTGCCGGGGTGGCGTTTGCCCGTGCGTTGGGCGGCCGTGTGTGTGGTGTGTGTGTGTGTGTGCGTGTGTGTGTGTACGTTGAGTAACAATACGTCTGGACTTTAAAATGGCGTGCGCGTGCATGCGTTTGCTGCATACGTGTATGTGGGAATTACGCGCGTGGGCGTGTGAGTGCGTGCGTGCATGCGTGCGGGCGTGCACTCGTTGTGAGATTGCTTGTGGGTTTTTCGCGTGCCGTTACCGCGTGCATACGTCTATTAACGCTGCTGGCACCATTAGCTGCAGGAAGGCCTCATCGCGACCTCGCGTTCCAACGACGGAAAGTCCCATTAGTGGACTTTGGCTATATATTGGCTGAATATCAGCAGCCTTACACGACCGAAGGCTCTCCTTAATTGGCTATATAAGTGTTTACATTCTGTGTTGTAGATTATTCGGCAGCAGTTTCCTCAGATCACCACGCGGCGACTAGGAACAAGAGGACAGTCAAAGTACCTAGAGTTTTATCATTGTTATACGGAGTGATTTATGGGCGCAATCGGTTGCGTTAAATACGCTAAAGCAAAAAGAACCTGAGATAGAATTTCATTATAATTTTGTTACGTTACAAGTAAAATGTATGTTGTGTTACCGGTGATCGTACATATAAAAATGTAAAATTTGTACTTTTTTAAACTGAATTTAATATGTCTAATTTCAATCATTACTTCATTATTCATTACGATAATTAAAACTTGTACTTCACCACTATGTATATTTTTTTCTTTTAGATATCATTACTACGGGATCGCCATCAAAGAGGAGTCATTGTATTATGAGACGATGTATTCTGCGCACGGTGCTTATAGGTAAAGTTTCTTATGTGAGCAACATGAATCTATAGTGTATAGACACTAATATAAAAGCGATGAACAGCGTTTCGCATTGGACCACGTATTTAACCGTATCTTCTCGCTATAACAGTCTTTGCAACTTCCACGACGATTCAAAACCCCTATAACCTAGGGATTTTCCAAAAGCGTAGGATTCGCAGTAGATTTTACTAACCGTTATAATATTCTCAGTGTTGACTATTTTGGTGTTCGAGGATCCGTCTCATTCTTTCAGTAATATGAATGAAGGAAAGAAAGATGCGACTAAACAGGTACGTCTGCTTCGATGTGGTATATATTAGACATGTTAAATTATTGCAAGACCTGTCGAAAACTACTTCATATTTCTGTTTGTATAAATCATACATTTAATGCATTCGCAGTATATAACTTTTTCATGCTTGTGTTTTGTCGAAGGCACTGTCATTCGTGCCTAGGGCGAAAGTCGGGACTCTACTGCCGGAGTTCCCAAGTGCAAAGGATATCATGGTGCCAACTGGTGTCGAGGATGATAAAATTGCAACATTTCTTATGATGTACCGCACACACTGTCAACGCATTCTTGACACTGTAATACGAGCAAACTTCTCTGAGGCATGTAAATTATATGACTTTTACCAAATCCCGTAATGCAAGTTCGGGTTTACTAGACGACCTACATCCTGCCGTGTGTAGGCTATATTCCTATGTTTCCTAATGCACAGACTCTATTTCTAGATAGTGACAGATAAAGGGCGCGTGAAGCTAATTAAAAGCAAAGTTACAGCCTAACGCTAGTTTAGTGTACACGGAAAACAATCCTTTTATACGAGAGCTTATTGTATGCTCTGTAATATGGCATTTACCGTAAAATGGTTTTATCCAAAACACATGTCACCGCCCTTAATATTTAATCTCCGCACTATTATTAGAGTAACATTAGGAATGAGAATGTGAATGATCAACTCTATACGTGCGTGTGTTTGTCCGCGTGTGCATACGTCTAACAAATCTTAACGCGGATTAGTCGAACTTTGATGAGAACGTTTGGGGAAACTTTATTGTCGCTACATCTACGTTAATCGTGAATCTCAACTTGCAGATACGCGACTTTCTAGTTCACTACTGGCAGGGCATGCCAGTGCACATGACGTCATTGCTGGGCAGCACGGTCATTGTGCAGCTGGTGTCCGTGTGCGACTCCATCACGTACAGAGCTCTGCTGGACGTGCTAATACCGTCAGTGCTTCACACCGTACCGGAAAGCCTAGCAGACGCCATGCGCAAGTTCTCCGCCGACCTGGAATGCTGGCTAGAGACTGCTTTACACGGTCTTCCCGACGACTTGCACGTCACAAAGTTCAGAGGTTAGAAGCACAAAAATATCCATTTTTGCTGTGTAAATCAGGAGGGCGAAATATAGAGTTATATATCTCTATATTAACAAGAGCTAATAATATTATTAGTAAGTAATAATTAATAGTAAATTATATAGTATTATTAGCTCTTGATATTATGCACTCCTGATGTGAGGTTAGGGTAGAGTAATTTCGCGTTCACATCCTACCTACCTCAAAAGTTAAATTTTCTATAATCATTTTAGATAATTTCTAATAATATTTGAAACAATTCTCTCAAAATAAATCCAGAAAGGATCAAATAATAACAGAAAATGTCATGGTTATGTCCGGGCGTCAACCACCAACTTCAGAGTTCGGTTCTAAGCAAAACGTCTTTTCAAAAACCCGAAAAACTCAATATCCGCCATATAACGTCATAAAAATGGGAGTGTGCTCAGTATTATATAGGCCTAATTGATAGAATCACACAACTTACACTCCACTACTATGTGAAACGCAGCTGTTAGAAGAAACTTGATCCACGTTACTTATGATCTGTTAAGACGACTAACCACGACGTTTAAATTAAGACTTTTCGACCATGATGAAAATGTATCAGTACAACTTTGTAGATGGAGGTCGCGGCTGAAAAGGCAGCGGTTCAAATGTAAAATTTCTAACAGAGTTTCGTGAGTCTGTTTCCACTACAGTAGTATGTACTGATACGCAACGTGATGTGATGAGTGTGCAACGTTCTCTTTACTCGCTGTGTGCTTTAGCCGCAAGACGATTCTCAGAGCTACTTCAGCGTCAGTTCTCACTGACACAGCTTTGCCAGACAGCGCGCTCTATCGTCATCAACACAGATATAGTCGCGGCTATACTGTCGGATCTGAGGCGCATCGACGTGCGAGAGATATGCTGTCAGGTTCTATACACGGCCGCCATAGAGCTCGGATACAGTCTCTGTCGAGAGAAACTAGCCGCATGTGAGTATTTTGAAAACTGTAAACGTTTGTTTAACGCTGAAACGTTTGCGGCAAACGTTGCACCCCTAGAAGTGTCAAAAACGTTGAATTGCGTTAAGCTTAACTCTGCGACACTTGTTTCTGTGCTTAGTATACATCCGATTGTACCGTCGTGCGTATTCCATGTTTGAGAATCACATGAAAGCTACGCGTGATTGTTTATGATATAAGTGACATTTAACGTTAAAAACCAGGGACAACAACCAAACTGGGCTGTTTTCGTGTTGCAGGTGGGTTAGGTCATATACAGAGTTAAATCGAAAATTTGAAGATGAATAATTGCGGCCATATATCAACTTACTCTAATTCGGCTACTCTAATTTGGTCGGACTCAATTTCATGTCGAGAAATTATACAGGAATGAGGTTAAAAAAACATTACTGCACAAAACACACGACAATCCTCACTCGGCGGCATGTTATTGGGCGACGGTACTGTCACAAAAGCAACAGCTTAATGATTTCATGAAGAACTAAAGATGGTGAACTAAGTTAGCTCTGCGAATCACGTCATACCAATGAAATAATTGAAACACTCATAACCCCTGTGTTATATTTTGTAGACTACCGGGAGTTTGAAGCGTTGTTAGAGGAGAAGTCTGGCATTGACGATTACATTGCGTGGGCAGATTCGATTTTAAAGCGATGTTTTCAACAGGTAAAAATCACAAATGAGCCATTGTGACAAATTGCAAAGTAACCAGCTGAAATACGCCTTGGTGACAAAGGTCACTCTTAAAATGCGGTAATATAATATTGAAATAATTGCCAAGAAATGTTTTGATATTGTTTGAAAGGCAAACAGCGTGGAATATTAACAGATTCTATAACTCTCTGACATTGTTACGCGTTTACATACATATAAACAGATGAGCAAAGGGCGACAGGAGATGTGCATTAGGTACTTCATTCACCTGTGGATGTACTTCGGATCTAAAATCTCCCGGGAACTGACGTTACACAACTCTCAAAGCTTCGGTAAGCCTGGCATCCGCACCACCAATCTCTGGAGTGACTCAATAATAAATGAATCAACAATAATAAGTAAACGGTTAAAATACTGTCTAAGAATAATTACGTTTATTCGACAAACCAGGTTTTAATACGCGAAGGTGCCAAAGAAACGAGCTGTGTATTACCAATCCTTTTCGTTACTACTATACTATGATAGAGTCCATTACAGTGGTAATAAATGACCTCTGATCATCAAATCTCTATCAAATTGAAGATTCTATTTAATATCGTAATTACTATATATATAATTACTATACATCATGCGATTTTGTGCATGATTTCTTAGTATTCATACCTGGGTTTCTAAATGTCTGACAGGCTCGTTTCAAGTCCTACGCATGATGTTTGACGACTACCTGTTGCTGCAGTTGCATCTTCAACAGGATCAAATAGAAAGTGACAACACCTTGTGCTGTCTCGCGGGACAAGACCTGCCGATCGGTAAGCGCTGTGATATGCCGAACGAGAACTCCAGTCAGTTGCATCGGAAGTTTTTATCACGTAATATTATTCAGAGTGGCTATATGCCCGGCAGCCGGCATATATCTGACGGCTGCCGGGCACGGTCTTCGATTTCCTAAATGCCCGGCAGTTTTTAATTTTCAGCGTTATCTCAAGTAAACAAGAGTTAGGGTTAGGGTTAGGGTTAGGGTTAGGAACTGCCGGGCATTTAGGAAATCGAAGACCGTGCCCGGCTGCCGGGCATATAGCCACAGCGAATATTATTCATTCGGATTAAAAAAAAATATCAAAAACATACTAACTTCACGTGACTGATACATCTTTTATTCTATGAATTATATGGTTATCGTAATTGCGACTGTAATAGTAAAAAAATTGTTTAATATATATTATACAAAACAATTAACTAACAGTAACTTGTGTACATTACCTATAACGAAAAACTTGGGGTTTCTATATGTCGTTTAGAGAGCTTAATTCTTTGTTCATTTTAATTCATTGCAATGTTTTCAGTTGTTATTATTTAGTATTTTCTTACGCTCACATTGGTTTAATTATTTAACACGTAACTTAATTTCAGAACCAAACGATCCCCCGCTGCAATACTTCAACAATCCGCTATTTGATCCAACGTGGAACAGCGTAAATACGTTCTCGCAGGGATGTACCGATAGATGGTGTGGCGGTGCATTAATGTACACAGATGCCAGCCAACAAGACGATGCTGGCGACTTCTGGCGGCCATCCTGTCGGTTTTCACCAATAACCTCGGAGCAGTTTCTTCCAGACAATAACATAATTACATGATACAGTGTGTTTAATAACAGATTTGAATGAGATGTGCGGATTGCGGCGTAACCTTGCATAGCGTAATCATGATGTCTTTATTTACTAGTGACGCGAACATCTACAGATACTACCATTGTGCTGCTAAATTGCTCTTAGTTATTTGCAACAGAATGAAAAATAAAATATCAACCCTAATTTTAGCTCCGACACAAATGTTATAACAAAGCTCAGATAGACATGCATACGATTTAGCGCTCATGAGTAATATACGCTCTTTATATATGTATTTAAACAAATTTTTATATTGTTAGAGCATATATTAGTCATAAATAATTTACCAATGATACTAATATTCTTGTAAAAAATAATGTTTGATATTGGTTATAAATTTGCTCATAATTATAATACTCTTGTTACGATTTATTTTTACATACTGAAATGCGATATAGCCTATAAATGCTGCTTATTTCATTATTACTTAATTAAGAACCAGCAACTTAACATAATTAATTTCCCCGGTAAAATAGAAAGGACTTTTTACGTTATCACCATTATCACGCATGCCGCAATTAAATTTAAGGCATAACATGTCTAGCATCCTACTAATATATTCTCCGCGTGTTGCACATGTGGCAAAAGTAGTAGTCAGACAAGCTCACTGTAGGGAGATTGCGTCCGAAAATGCATATGCTATGCAACTCAAGAAACCTATTCAGCTCGTACGTTAGACACGTTGTTTTGTTTATCTTTCAACCGAGTCTCCTTGTGTTTTCACATGTGACCCACCTGCCTTCAATACATAGTACCAGGGGCCGGTTTCACGAAGCGTACTTAAGTATTGAATCGTGATTAAATCACTAATCATGATTAACTTCTCGTACTTAAATTAAAGTGACTGTTTCACGAAGCGTAATTAACTTTAATCATGATTAAGTTAATCACAATATTTAATTCTACTCAGGAGCAAGATTAAATCCACTAATCATAATTAGTTGCTAGTACTAGAACTTATACGTAGGAAGTAGTAGTACTAGTATATTAAGTACGCTGCAGATTTTACAATTGGAAATTTTACTTCAATTTTTTCCCAAGGAAATTTAAATTATCTAATATTTGCTGTACTACTTCAATCATTATAGTTACAAATTAATTCCTTTTCATGTACCGAACTTGAAGATGTTTTTGGCGTATTGGTCCGCCATATTGGATACCGTCTAATTTGTTTTAGACTGGTACTCGCTCCCACCTCGATTACTCGATTCCCATCGAGTAACTAAGCCGAGAGGGGAGCGAGTACCAGTCTATTCATGTTGAAGTCGGCTAATTATGTGATTAGTTAAATATGTACTTAAATTGCTTCGTGAAACATATTTTTGAGTATGATTAACTAATCATAATTACGGGAAGTTAAGTATGATTAGTGATTTAATCATAGTTAAGTTAAGTACGCTTCGTGAAACCGGCCCCAGGAGTAAATAATAATAGATTATTATTATTGTCTACTGTTCGTCTGCGTGTGTGCAAGATTACTTTGCAAACACTTGTTTTAGGGCTCGAACCCTAATCGTGTGGGGGCGTGTGTGTGCGCGCGCGTGTGTGCACATATATATATATAATATAGTGTGTGTGTGTGTGTGTGTGTGTGTGTGTGTGTGTGTGTGTGTGTGTGTGTGTGTGTGTGTGTGTGTGTGTGCGTGCGTGCGTGCGTGCACCAGCGTTGCGGGGCAGGTGCGGGGATGCGGCCGCTACCTACTTATTCCATGGATGCTAATTGAAAGTCGCAGAGTAGGCGAATGCCAGCGGAGGCTGGCGCAGATACACGCACCTCTGGGAAATAGCGGGGAGCGGAGAAAAACGCACTGGTTTTAGTGGCAAAATCAGCTAAACCCGCGTTTTTTGTAGCGCGATGATGGATGTTTATAGCGCGTTATTTAGGTGCTTATGATTAGGTAGGAGCTACGGGAAGTAGTGTGAGAGGCAATACGGGGGAGGGGTGGTTGGGGAGCCAGTCAGCGGGCGGACTGGTTGCTGAGGCAGTCGCGGGGAGGACTGAGGGAGGACTGGAGAACGCGGGTATTTTGCTAAAGATAGGAGAGAGTGAAGAGTGAACATTTTTGCTCATGAATACTCGATGAGAAGGAAGCATCTTAGCAATGATGGAGAGACGCATGATGACGTTGGTCGTGCACTCACAGCCCAGCGGCGATTGTTCTCCAAGACACTCCATCTCCTCTCTTTCTCTGTGTCTGTCATCCTCTCGCTCTCTCTCTCTCTCTCTCTCTCTCTCTCTCTCT